GAACACTTCAGATTTCCAATTAGGGATACTCAATCTGTACTTCTCAGTGGTCGTGATGAGGCTACTTCTGAGTATGCCAAAAGCAGCTAGATGCTACAGCCTGGAGCCACTGCTGCTGAAGATAACTACCATTGCATAAGCAATGCCAGTAGAAACAGAAAAAAGAAAAAACAAAACAACAAAAAAAAACAAGATGACCGTTTTCCCCTCTATCCTGCAAATACTGGCAGAATCTAACAGAAATCCAGCTAGTAAGAGTTTAGGGAATAAAGTTTACAAAGCCTAAAACCCAACATCACAGAGTGTAAAAGTGTAAATTTTGAGTTAACAGTTGGTCCATTCTACTCTTCTGGCATACACATTTATACTTCCATAAAATGACAATTCCAAGCTTCTATCCAGTGAGATAGAACTATCCTTTATACAAATGAAGGTACTTTCACCCTCACCCTAAAAAGGAAGAAGCAAAGTCCCAACAGTAATTGTATCCATCTGTGGATGACATTAAGACCTCTTCTAGTTGAATCACAATTCCTTAAGAATATTTTGCAACCTAATGTTTAAACTACAGTTAGCCACCACCAATATTCCTTAAAAGGAGAAAGAAAATATATACATAATAAGCAAAGAAAGGAATATGATTGGGGGCTACAGTCTTTGTTTCTGTAACAGATGACAAGGCTACAGTTATTTGTAACTTGCTTCTCCTACCCATTCCATATCATTCCCGTTGCCTACACCCAAGAGCTCAGCTGGCTGCATTAGGATTAACTTTAATTAGTTCCTAATCTGTACTCTCAGTGGTCCTGTTTAATGGAACGCTGTGGTTTCCCATTATCTTTTAATTTTGGACATGGAAGTTATTAAGAGACACCCCAGAAAAATCCCTTGGGCACAGTCTACTTGGTGCTAGTTTGTAGCAGTAACTCAATTTCCCCTTGGTAATTTGGATCAATCACCTCAACACATTAAGTAACCACTTCTTTCCCTGCTGGTTCTGTAAGCATGAAGAATCCCAAATGGTCAGGTGGCAGTCTCAAATTCAGTTTAAGTCAATTGTTGTGCCCCTTGGTAGAAGCATACTATCTATGAGGGTCTGTTTCTTTGGGCCTCCCCTGCTAGCAAGTATTCATCAGTTAAGAGTTGTCAGAAAAACAGAAATCACATTAGGTAGCTCAAAAAGAGGGAATTTAGTATAGATAATTTGTTTTTGAGGTATTAGAGGAATATAAGGGCCAATGTGAACGTGAAAATCATCCAGAGACAACTGCAAGAGGCAGCTCCCATAAAAGGAGGTAAGGTGATCTTACCTACAGAACCTACAAGCTTGGAGCAAGGGCCCCCAAAGAGTTGATACTCAGGAGGAAAGGTATCACTTCCCTCTGAATGTCAAGGAAGGCTTCACGAGAGGAGTGATGGCTGAGATGGGTTTTAAAAATAAGTTTACTATGCATAGTCTTTTCCACCTTTATTACTAATGCATCCACTTTATAACTGGCCTGGTCATTTAGAAGTGGTTACAGGGACTACCACTTTAGCACATTAAATCTATTAGTAAATATACCAAACCATGGGTGCTATAATGTGTCCAAATTAAAACTAGGATTCAAAGTCATCCTTTTCTGCTTCAAATATGTTCATTTAAGGCTGGGTACAGTGGCTCATGCCTATAATCCCAGCACTTTGGGAGGCCAAGGCAGGGAGAGCACTTGAGGCTGGGAATTTGAGACCAGTCTGGCCAACATAGCAAAACCCCCTCTCTACTAAAAATACAAAAATTAGCCAGATGTGGTGCATGCCTGTAATCTCAGCTACTCGGAAGGCTGAGGCAAGAGAAGCTTGAACCCGGGAGGGGTTCTTAGCATTCAACTTCCACACTAAATGCTAAGATTGCGCTACTGCACTCCAGCCTGGGTGACAGAGGTTGCAGTAAGATGAGATTGCACCACTGCACTGCAGCCTGGGCAAGAGAGTGAGACTGTGTCTCAAAAAAAAAAAAAAAAAAAGTTCGTTTACAGAAAGGCACTAAGAAATTCTCTGACCAGAAGAGTACACATTTATTAAGTAAACAGAATGTATGAAACCAGGTATCACCATCCTGTCTGATGAAGGTAATCAGAACTCCTATTTACTTTGAGAGAGTCTTGCTCTGTCACCCATGCTGGAGTGCAGTGGTACAATCTCGGCTCACTGCAACCTCCACCTCCTGGGTTCAAGCAATTCTCCTGCCTCAGCCTCCTGAGAGCTGGGTTTATAGGCACCCGCCACCACACTCAGCTAATTTTTGTATTTTTAGTAGAGATGGGATTTCACCATGTTGGCCAGGATGTTCTCAAACTCCTCATGATCCACCCACCTTGGCCTTTCAAAGTGCTGGCTTACACGTGTGAGCCACCACACCCGGCCCAGAACCCTTATGAAGGGATCTACCACTTTGCTACCTAGCATTATTGCTGGAGCAGCTAAGTAACATACCAATTTACTGAGAAGTTTTTTAATGGTATCTGGGTGCACTGTCTCCTCTTTACCTTTTTCTGGTGCTATGGTTATTTTCCACAACACACAGGCCCTTTTTATCTGAAGCTGGGAAAAGGGTATTTGGATACTCTAAGGAAAGTGGGTGTTAGTGAGAACAGTGCACAACACAGGAAGGTTCAGCAACACAAATTTTGTGGTACAAGGGGCTTGTTTTTGGATACATAGACAGATTGGAGTACACACACTGACCAATGCAGTAATTACAAAGAGAGGGTTTGAAATCATCTGGCTGAGAAGCTGCTGGAAAGGCCAAAACTACCCACAGATACACTTTGAATCTAATTACATTAGCTAAAAAACAGAGGTATGGAAAGAACACCTTGCTTTTATCAAATGAAAGAGAAAATAATTCAGATAGAGATGCTAAAGGGAAAAAGCATTGAAATGAGAGTAATTTATAATTTGTTTACAAAGCTTCCCTAACTATGCTAGACAGCAATTACACCCTCTGAAGTGACATCGCTGATGCACAGATATAAAATCCGGGCAGGGCAAAAAGCCAGTGAGGCTCAAAATCTGAGGGCTGGAGAGAACAGTTTAAGATCCTCAATCCTGTGATGCTTGTATGTTAAAGACTTGAAATAGAGAACTAAAAAATGCAGCCTTTACCTGTCCTCTACCCTGACAGGAGATTCAAAAGGCAGAACAGATGAAAAAATGGAAAGAGAGGCTTGAGAAAAAGTATTATTCTGCGGAAATTCAAGATGACTACCAGCCTGTCACTCAACAAGAATTTCGAGAGTAAGCTTATGTTCTAACCAGAATATTATGGAATATCATGACATGGACATTAAGGACATTTCTTTCCTGAACCCAAAACCTAATTCTATTGGGATGCCTTTAATCTCTATCCGATTTCAAAGTTTCATACAACTCCATTTGCTTAAAAGGTTAAGAAACTTTTGATTAAATCCCTGTATCTCTAGTAACAGAAACGGCCATTTATATTTGATTTGCAAAGCAGATAGTTTCTCCACACAGCTTTAGAATATTAGATCTCAAGAGGCACATTTTAGGAGCTTACAGTGCTATCTTCCCACTCAAAGCGTTTCGCACTCGTAACTTGCTGTCTATACATGAAAGTATATTACTAACTCATTTCTCTATTTCCTTCTAAATTTTCTAGGCTTTTTTTATATGCTGTGGAGCTGGAGAAGGAATTACACTATATCAATTTGAAACTAAATCAAGTGATGAGAAAGCTTTCAGCTCTATAATATTGAGACAAGTGGAGGTAAGATCTGTCATGCAATCCTTAAGCATTTCTAACAAAGACTTATTCATGTATGACTTCATAAACTTGTGCTCTTTTCAGCCACACCTTAAAGGTACTGAACAACCTATCATCAAACTATCCTCAGGGTCAGAATTAAGTGTCTCTGACAGGGACTCACTGTACAATCCATGCATATTACAAGCCTCCAGTATACACACACTGGTACACACAAAGGATTTTATAATGAAGTTATCAAATTCTAGAAAAGTGAAGGATGAGTAGAAGAAAATGCTTCTAGTTCACAGGGCAGGTCTGTAATAGCTCAGTAAGTAGGTAGAGAAAGACTGTTTTCTCATAGTTACAAAGTAGAACTACTGGTGCTATCAAGTGCATCATGTACCATGTTCTGAATTCCTTTGGCCACAGATAAATAAAGGCTTAAGATTCTAAAAAACTATTATGTAAGACTCAAGTAATCTCCCTCCATTCTTTAGAATATGAAGTCTTCCGGAAAAAGCCAAAGTGTAGAACAAACTCCCTAGCCACCTACAGAAATTTCACTAACATCCTCAAACTGGAATTTTACCTAGACCGTTTCTAAGGTATAATGCATTTAAGGTTTCCCAAAAATAAAATACAGAGCAGGGTAGGCGTATCAGTGTCATAAGAAGTTATGTTTGGAAAGTGTAAATGAGGATCCTGTAACAGCCTTATTTGGAGGGCTGGAAAATTGTGTGTGCCTGTCATTTTGGAAATTAAAAACTCTTCTAATATTTCTAGGCTATGTAAGCCCCTCTACAGTAGCCCTATGTTCTCTTAGCCCAAGCAACATCATTTGACCTTAGTTAGCACTCAACTTCCACATTGGTGCTCAATAGTCCCTGAATTTTAAAACTCGAATACAAAGATATTTTTAGATAACTACTCACCTTCCTCGGGCCAAGCTCTTCTCTTAAGCAACCATATATCAAGAGTTCTTAACAGGAAAATTCACTGCAACAAGAAATACTAACTGTTCTCTCTGTGGCTCTCCCTAGGTTAGCACAAGGGAATGAACATGGCCTTTCTCTGCCCTACCATTTCCCAGAGTTGTAGCCAGCCAAATAGTTTAGTGACCCTGTTGTTCCCTAACATGGCCCCTGGGTGGGATCATTTAAACAAAGCCTAAGGTGAGGGAACACTTAAGGTCTTTTTTTTTTTTTTTTAAAAACACCCGGTGGAAAAACAAACATACATTTACAATGACTTAGAACTTTCAAGTTCTTTTATTACAAAAGTCTGTACAATGAAGTGCCAGACAGCAATGCAATTATACTGGTAGACATATATATCTATATATTATTTGTATATAGATATACAGTTTTTATTTGTACCAAAGTAAAACTATCACCAACTGCCTAATTCTATCACCTACTGCTCAACTATGACACACAATACTGTCACAGAGCATAAGTGCCGCCATGCCACTTTTAGATATTCTACTCACAGCCAAACATTAACAATTAATAACATCATGAAGCAGCTGTTAATCCTAAAATGAAACCAGTCAGGCTATTGACTTATAAAAATATGGTACTCATATAGATTTAGCATTATAAAGAAGGAATATATTATTTAAAACATTTAAATAGTGCATATGGACATTTTTGCATGTGGTATATAAAATAAGACATTCATATAAAATACACAGTGCACATAAAATTAGATGTTTGGATACACTCCTATCTGGAGACTGAAGGAAATTATCTGAAATGTACACTGCATGATGGATTGAAATAAAAAGGATACATCTTTTGGCATTTTCAATTTCACTTTTCTAGGTATACATTGTGAATAACCTAGTTGTATCAAAAGGAAACCACACAAAAAGGGCAAGATTTAGTGCTTTTCTTTATTCCCCAACTACACATTCACTACTAGGTTTTCCCAACCCCCCCACCAAAAAAAAGGCATTGCACACACAGGTGAAATGTGAAGTACTAGAACTGCTATTTATTATCAAGCTACTTCATGTGCTTACTATGTAATAGTGCCAGAAGTCTGAGGTTCATGCTTCCCTCACCTTATTAAAGGATGTTGCAAAATTCCATTTTTATATGGAACAAATTGTTAATATTAGCTAGTTAAGAAAACCATGCAAGAGTTATTGCATGCAAAACGTGGGTATAGTCAAAGTGAGACAGTCATCGATCCAAAAAAGCACCAGAAAAAGAAAGTTAACACTTAAGATTAAGCCTGACTCAAATCTGCTGTTGTAGTTAGCACAAATGAAATCACCATTCCCTAACAATGATTACCAGAATGATACTGAGAGAGTACCTAAAGAAAAGCCATGCAAAGCCAAAGGAAAAAAAGATATGCTAAGAGTATATGACAAGGGGCATACCACTACATATCCTGTAAACAGCTGCTTTAAACAGCATGTGATGATTGAGCAAAGGGTGGTCCCTGAAAGGGGTGGTGTTGTTGGACTTTTTTCTTGTTATGTATTTTGCTGATTAAAAGTAGGGGCGGGGGGAAGAAAAAGATAACCTCATGAAGATACATGTGAAAATGCAGTGGTATAGCCCTTGTTAAGAACAGATAATTACTTTAGGCATAATTATTATTTTGCTGATTTAGGCCCATTGATTGAACACACAAATCTGAGCACCATCAGAGTTCCTACATACTGACATGGCTATTTTCTCACATTATCTGAAGATGGGTAGAGGGAACAGAGCGGATCTGATCCAGACAAATCACACCATCGCCAGCAGATAAACAGTAACTCAGGAAACAGTAACTGAAGTCCCATAAGCAGCATGTGGTATGATTCAGTTCTGTGTGTGATGTGCGGTGTGTGTTTTCAATGTACTAAGCAAGGTCACTTTTTGGTCTACCAACTGTTATCTTCATCCAGGAGCTGTGTGACCACTTAATTGCAAAATTTTGCTAACATACTACCTGTGAGAAGGTGTCACTTTGGGAATTAACAGAAAGGTATTCCAGAGTAGGACTTGAAATCTCAGTTTGATTTTGGTTTTCTAGGAAAACAGAGAACACAGTTGCATATGTGCACTTTTATAAGCGTTTCTTTCAAATTTTCAGTCATTCTGTAAGAAAAAGGCAACACAAGAATTCAGTGTGAAGATTTTCCTCCAATTTTCTTCAGTAATGAGAAACAAAAAGTTGGTAATAACAAAAAGCTTGCATTTCCAAAGTTCTTGAGGTTGAAAGGATAAAATTCTAGTCTTTTGCTAAAAGGATGTATCTGTAGTAGAAAACAATGAAGGAAACTGTATGTTAAGTTGGAGAGGACAGTCTGTGGTTAATATGGAACATCACTTATGCTCCCTTGAGAGGGCCTACTTACCCTTCTATCATATGTTTTGTTTAGTGGCACCACAATCAAGTACAAAATGAGATTCTCTGAGTGCCTGACAAAATGAATTTAAGTACAAGCCAAGTACACACGATGATAGCTTCAAGGAATACAACTGACTTTATGATATGAATTTTCAAGGAACGTATTTTATATGGATTTTGAAGAATCTTGTTTGCTTATAAGAACTTCAAGAAGCCTAAGCTTGGCTTTAATTTTCTTGTACTCCCTGTACTCCTCCAGCACTGGAACACGATCCTCTTTCTGGGCATTCCTATGGGAGAAAATAAAATCTATAATGTTCTAGAGATCATTTGGAAAAAAAGGACTCAGAAGTTGTCCTAATATGAGACATACTGTTACTAAATATAAGCTCAAATAAAAAGTTGCTCTGTAAAAAAAAAAAATTATTGAACTAATACCCTCATCCCCAAGGAACATTTCTAAAATTTTTGATAGATTTCTCTACTGATAGATTAAATGATGCTATACTTATCAATAATCAATATAGATAACTGGAGGAAACCCAATATTTTAATAGGACATCCAGTGCTAGACTCTGCCAGGTCAGTGTCTACTAAGTGTTGGAGGCTACGCTGAGTCATTTCAGACATTTAGTTAACTGTGGCTCCAGTGAATTGAGATGTAAAAGTAAACTATCTTACCTGCAGCGATAGAGTAATTTTCTAACTTTATAGTAATGACCCAATGCAATTCAATAGCTAAAGCATCACTAGCTAAAGCATCAAACTATCCTAATTATAAGCAAAATTTTCTTCCAATAATACAATGAAATAGAAGACTATTGGGAAAAATGCATTCCTGCACTTCAGATTTTTTTAACCATATGTGCCAACCTATATAGGAGACTCACAAAGCAAAGGGAATTAACGTACACATATTTTGGAATTTGTAATATTAGCTATCACCTTGGTAAGATGACCCAGCTACTTAGAAAAATGTTTCTCAGCCCTGAGATAACTGAATCCAAACTTCTGGCCACAATCAAAACTAGAATGTATTTTTCTTAGTTTTAAAACAGCCCCTCCAAGTCAACTGTGCATTAACTAGTTAGATAAAAGCATGTGCCATAGTGTATTATAGGAGCCACATGCCTGGCACACTGTTACACACCTTGAAAATGGGCAGCCTCAACACACAGTATGAGCACAGTGGTCTCAGTAAAAAATAAAAATCCAAAGTAGTTGAGGATACCACTCCTGTTATGAGATCCTTTCTAAAATAAGAAATATTTCAGTTCACAACTACTCCCAAAAGGGTAAGGATGTAGAATTAAAGAATATAAAATCACTGCAACACAACCAAGGCTCCCTAGCACAATCTGAAAATAGTTGATCAAATGCTGTTTACACTAGCTATGACTATTCCTGGCCATCAAAAGAAGGACCTCAGAACATAAAGAATTTTTAAAAACTTTTCAGTGCTAGCATCCTATCTGCACAATTTCTTTCTAATCCCATATATTTCACTATTTCAATATATGGTCAACTTGTGAGTTAAAGGAGATAGATGATTCAATTTTGTGATGCTCAACAAACCTTCCATTTTGTTGATAAAATGCTTCTTCAAAATCCCGCAATGTTTTGCGTAGTTTCTTTTTTTCAGCTCTGGCTTTCCAAAGTTGTTCCAGTAATTCAGGCCTAGAATTGAAATGGTAAGAAAATATTGAAGGGCACACTTGATTCCTTATACGTATTCTTAACAGAGGTTCTAGCGCTGGCTGCAAATTAAAATCAGCTGAGGAACTCTTAGGTCTACAAATGCCTAAGTTCTACTGCAAACCAGTTACGTCAGAATGGCTGAAGGACAAAAGCATCAGTACTTTAAAATCTTGGCAGGTGACTGTAAAGTGAAGTCAGGGCTCAGAACCAGTGACATACACCATACAGTCCAAAGGTAAAGAAGTGGATATAGAACAAAGAGATCAACTCTCAACTACTTCCTGTACTTTGTTATAAATCAACTGCAGGATTTTATTTGTCTCTTTGCTTTTTTACAGACACTCTCATTCTGTTGCCCAGACTGGAACACAGTGATTCCATAGTGGCCTCAAGCAATCCTCTTGCCTAAGTCTCCCAATTATCTGGGACTACAGGTGCACACCATCACCCCTGGCTAACTTAGAAAACATTTTTATAGCATCTGGGTCTCACTATGTTGGCCAGGCTGGTTTTGAACTCCTGGCCTCAAGAGATCCTCCTGCCTCAACTTCAAAAGGTGCTGGGATTATAGTCATGAGCCACTGTGCCTGGCTAGATTTTTTTTTTTTTAATTTTTGAAACATGGTAATGATTTATTTAAAAATAAGAATGATGCCAAGCACAGTGGCTCATGCCTGTAATCCAGCACTTTGTGAAGCAGAGGCGAGCAGATCACCTGAGGTCAGGAGTTCTAGACCAGCCAGCCAACATGGAGAAACCCTGTCTCTACTAAAAATACAAAATTTGCGGGGCATGGTGATGCATGCCTATAATCACAGCTGCTTAGGAGGCTGAGGCAGGAAAATCACCCAAACCTGGGAGGTGGAAGTTGCGGTGAGCTGAGATGGCACCACTGCACTCTAGCCTGGGCAACAAGAGCAAAACTCCATCTCAAAAAATAAATAAAAATGAGAATAACAATACATCACACTTAAAAAGCATGTGTCCTTTGATAAATTATTGATTTACCTAATTCCGAAATGCTCTATTATTTAACATTAAATTGCTTGGCATATATAGTTTATTATAAAAATAGGCTAAAATCACAAATCAGCATACATACATAGAAGCTGCTCGAGAACTTGACAATCGAAGATCCAGAGCCAGTTTTTCTTGATTTTCATCAACATCAGATTCAGAGTTTTCCAATGAAGACTGTATCTGTACTGCAGTTTTCAAGATATCACTTAACTCAGAGGACAGATTAACACCATCTTCTTCTTCTTCCTAAAAAGATATCCAAACAGAGAATCAAACATGCCATGACTTTGAACTTTTTCTTTAGGGAAGGGATCAGATAATTATGTCTTTAAAGGATTACCTTGATTTCTTCAAAAAAGTGTGCAGTTTCTCCTTCTATGATTGGCTGTAACATCTGACCCCTTCGCTTGGTGGATGGAGATCCCTAAAACAATCAATAATATAGTTTTACGTTTTAAGTATTCAAAGTGTCCAGTGAAGCTTCACCTCATTATGTTATGAATCTTAAACTTTATTTTCAAAGTCTTAAGCATTTGCTTTAAGTATTTTTAGGAAGTGCTTAAATTTATTTTTGCTTATATTTTTATTTATGCACAAGGAAGGTAATTTATGTCTAGAGAAGTCTAAAAGAGTTGATACAACAAATACTTTTAAAATTCTAAATAAGAACATACATGTAGCTTAATTGGAAGCACTTTTCTTTTTAAAAATAGGTGTCAACTTTTTTGGTTTGAGGACCATTCTCATTCTTTTTTTAAAATAATAGCTTTATTAAGATATAATTACATATCATAAAAGTCACCCTTTTAAATGTATGATTTGGTGGCTTCTAGTACATTTACCAAGTTGCGCAACTATCACCACTAATTTCAGAACATTTCATTATCTCAAAAGAAACTCTGTGCCCATTAGCTGTCACTCATTTGCCTTCTCCCCCGCCCCGAGCCAGCCCTTGATAACCACTAATCTAAATTCTGTCTCTATGGTCTTGCTTATTCTACGTGTTTCATACAAATGGGATCATATAATATGTGGCCTTTTATGTAAGGCTTCTCTCATTCACCTTGTTTCCAAGGTTCACCCATGTTGTGGCATCTATCAGTCTTTCATTCTTTTTTATGGCTTAAGACATTACCACATTTTATTTACCCATTCATCTGCTGACATTTGACTCAGCAATCCCATCACTAGGTATACAAATCCAAAAGAAAACAAATCATTCTACCAAAAAAAACACATGCAGTCACATGGTTATCACAGCACTATTCACAATAGCAAAGTCATGAAATCAGGTGTCCATCAACAGTGGACTGGATAAAATGTGGTAGATATACACCATAGAATATTATACAGCCATAAAAAAGAACAAAATCATGTCCTTTAGAGTAACATGGAGGCAGCTGGAGGCCATTATCCTAAGCAAATTAACACATAAACAGCAAAGCAAATACTGAATGTGCTCATCTGTAAGCGGGAGCTAAACATCGGATATTCATGGGCATAAAAAAGGCAACAACAGACAAATATTTTAAAAATTCTAAATGATAAGAACATACATATAGTTTATGTGTGGACTACTAGAGGGGGAAGGGAGGGAGGGGAGCAATGGGTGAAAAATTGCTGGGTACTATGCTCAGTACCTAGGTCACAGGACTATTTGTACCCCAAACCTCAGCATCGCGCAAAATACCCAGGTAATAAACCTGCACACATACCCCTTGAATCTAAAATAAAATTTGGGTGAAAAAAAGTCACCAGGTAGTCATCACCTAAAGGAAGCTGCCATGCAAGTGGCTAGCAACATAAAAATAGCCTGAAAGCCACAGCAATCCAGAAGTTTCAGTGAATTAATTCATAGGAAATAATGCAGAATGGGCTACAAGCTGTTTTCTATTTGAACCCAAGACCAATCTATCTACAGTCATACTGTCTAAAGGTCAATTTGGACACAGCACTTAATCTGCATTTAAATATTAAAGTTTTCATTTTTCATATTCTACCTGTTGTGATTTTACTTGTCAGGATTTAATGACATAAGCATACATAAAAATGCTTATAAAAGTGTTTGGGATATACTAGCAGACATGATTAGTTACCTATTTTATATTTTAAAATCAGTAATGTCACCTTACAATGACAATTATTTCTGCCTTGGCTGTATGTTTTCCCAATATACCACAGTAATAATTTTTTTTTTTTTGAAGAGTACATCTTGATAAAATGAACTAGAGAAATATTGCTTGTTTTACTTACAAGGATAGGAGTGATGCTAGCTCTTGTCAGCATTTGTTTTACAAGCCTATATCTATCATAGAGAGGCTTAACAATGTGCCTTTCCTCCCTGGTCACCTGAAGCAAGAAAAAAAAAAAAGAAAGAAAGAAATTTCCTAGTCATCACAAATCTAAAATGTCCAAAACGTTAAACAAGACTTATTCCCTGAATTCCACATGTTATATTAAATCAATAAGCAATCCCCCAACTGTAGGAAATAATGCTCAAAAAACAGCTCTGAAGAATGTAGGCCACAAAAGTGATTCATGTTCCTTTTTAAGACAGAAAAGCAAATCTTTTTAGCAAGAGAGATATTACCGGCCTTCCATGTTGACTTTCATAGTAAAGAAGACTTTTTTGAAGAGAAGCTTTCTCTTCCACCAAATGATCTTTGGTCATTTTCTGGAATAAACAACAACAACAACAACAAAAAATTTGTTTAACTCCACTGGCACCATTAATACTCTCCTCACTCCCACAATATAAACAATTAGGCAGGAAGGGCAAACCATCAACAGTTTAGCCCAGGTTAATGCACCCTTTGCTTACAGATTTGCAGGCAAAATTTTCAGTCTCCTATACAATTTGCTCTTATAATAAGTAGGAACAAACCCCTTTGATGGCTTGATTTACATTTTATCTGAATAGATTATGAATACTGGCTTGGGTAAATTACCTAACCTCTTTGTATTCAACATCCTCATGTGTAAAATGGTAATACTTCATTCTGCCTTAAAGGGCTTTAAAGAAGACTAAATGAGTTCTATGGAAAGCATTTGCAACACTGTCTATCCAGCACAGAATAAACATACATAACACTCTCGCTATTTAATGTTCTTGGCATTTTACTGGCATTAAGATGAGTGGGCATGCATGCGCATGTGCACACACACATAGGTTTTACAATACAATATTTCTCCTAAATGATTAAGAAAATCTGGAAGCAGTATAGTGGAAAGATCCTGGAAAATGCTCAACAATGTCCATTTGTGACCTCGGACTTCTCTACTACCTCAGTTTCCCCTCATTTGGGTTGGCACATTCTTTACACTCTAATACTCTTCTCACAGCTTTTAGTAGTCTGATTAGCAGAGTAGGCAATGCTTCCCAAATGTATCTGTGCACAAACAAGCTTCACAGACAAATAAATATGGTAAGTCCTACATACTCTACTAATTAAAACAGATTTGTCCTCTTCATTCTATAGTTCAACTATTAACACCTGAACATGTGTTCAGGGCCTGGTGTTGTGGTTCAGACCTATAATGTCAACACTTAAGGCCATGAGTTCAAGTCCAGCCTGGGCAAAACAGTGAAACATGATTTCCACAAAAAAAAGTTGTCTACAAAAAAATTTGTATAAAGAATACCCTTGCCAGGCATGGTGGCTCACGTCTGTAATCCCAGCACTTTGGAAGGCTGAGGCGGGCAGATCACAAGGTAAGGGGTTCAAGACCAGCCTGGCCAACATGGTGAAACCCCATCTCTACTAAAACACACACACACACACACACACACACACACACACACACACACACCCCTTAGCCAGGTGTGGTGGCGGACGCCTGTAATCCCAGCTACTCGGGAGGCTGAGGCAGGACAATCTCTTGAACCCAGGAGGTGGAGGCTGCAGTGAGCCAAGATCATGCCACTGCACATCAGCCTGGGCAACAGAGCCAGACTCCACCTCAAAAAAAAAAAAAAAATCCTTTAACACTAGACCAAATAATCTCTCTACTTATGTCCAGGACTCATTATTACTACCCTGGTTTCTCACAAGAGTAAAATTAAAGATAAAAATTCACTGGATAACATCTTGCTATAATAACTTTAGATTATATACATTCAGTATCAGTAGAGGATAGTTGAGTAGAGTCTGTCAAACACTGTGACTTCAACCTCAAGCTTGAATCAGTCTTAAACCAAGGATAATACATTTGAATAAGTTTGTAGGGGGTAGGGAGATATTTATTCTAACACAAAACTTAAAACTAAAAGAAAGGGCTTGGTGTTGTGGTTCACACCTATAATCTCAGTACTCATGGCCATGAGTTCAAGACCAGCCTGGGCAACAAAATGAGACATGATTTCCACATACACACACAAAATTTTCTACAAAAACAAAAAAAAATTTTTTTGAGACTACATTTTGCTCTGTCGCCCAGGCTGGAGTAGATGGAGGTGGCTCACCACAACCTCCGTCTCCTGGGTTCAAGCAATTCTCCTGCCTCAGCCTCCCAAGTAGCTGGGATTACAGGAGTGTGCCACCACATCTGGCTAATTGTTTTGTCTTTTTAGTAGAGATGGGGTTTCGCCATGTTGGCCGGGCTGGTCTCAAACTCCTGGCCTCAGGTGATCCACCCACCTTGGCCTCCCAAAGTGCTGGGATTAAAGGTGTGAGCCACCACAACCAGCCAAAAAAAAAAATTTTTTTTTAAGCAAAAGATGAGAGAGGAAGTGATGAGAATGACTAATTCAGCTCTGTTCAAGGGAAAGAAAGACTCCAATATTTGGATCTTGAGAGAGGTGTACTCTGTGTTGTCAACATACAAGTTCTGCATCAGAACTCACTATTACCTAGATAAAAGTTCACCTGAGACCATCTACTCTCTCTATTCTCCAAGCAAATCTCATCTAATATATGCTTAGGTTGCCAAATGCTTTGATCAGGACTGCCCTAGAAACAGGCTTTACTGGAAAAGAATAACGGCTCTTCAAAAAAAAAAAAAAATTTCATTTAATCCTCATAACAACCATATCAAGTTAGTATTAATGGACATAATCACATCCACATACATTATAAGATTGTTGAAGGGACTGAGTGGCATAATGCATAAAATATAATTAGCCAATGTCTGGCATAAGCTAGGAGTGCAATACATATAGCTATTAAGACACCAGGACAGGATTCAAACTCAGGTCTGTTTCATGCTTTATTTATTTATTTTTTTTAAGACAGGGTCTCACTCTGTCACCCAGGCTAGAGGCACAGCTTACTGCAGTCCTAACCTCCCCAGCTCCATTGATCCTCCCACCTCAGCCTTCCAAGTAACTGGACTACAGGTACACACCACCATGTGCACTAATTTTTAAATTTTATTTGTAGAGACAGGGTCTCACTTGGTTACTCAGGCTGGTCTCAAACTCCTAGACTCAGGCAATCCTCCTGCCTCGGCCTCAGAAAGTGCTGAAATTAGAGGCATGAGCTACTTGTTTCATGTTCTTTTACACACTCATCTTGCCAACTGCCTCCAACATAAATGAACTCATTAGCATTCTAATTTTTCAGTTTTATTATGACTCAATTCCTGAAGTATACGTTACTTTTGTTATGCTGACTAAAGCATGTTTTTGTCTGTAAAGTTGGCGAGCAGATTCAGGAAAATCAGACTACTTAGATATCTCTATCCTACTATAGTAATTATTTTGTTTCAGGAATTCTAAAGGCTAATCTGGGCAAAAATCGTAGCTCAAGATTACCTTGATATCTTCTGGAAGACACCTCTCAATACGTTTTTCTTTCAGTCTTTTAAGAATAAGTTCAAGGGTTGCTTCTTTAGTTGGTTTCTTCTCCTTCTGAATGACCTTGGGTTCATCTTCATTCTCTTCATCTTCATGGTCTAGAGAAGAGCCAAAGCTTTTTGGAAGAGTGTTACTACGTGGACGTGTCTGAGGTACAAATTCTCCATCAGAACTTTTGTGTTTTGCATCTACATTTCAGAAATAAAGACAGATAAATAATAATTGGTTTTAGCTAAAATGTGACTGGGTCAAAGCATAAGCAAGATACACAACAAGAAAGTATACATTAGTAGCACACAGACTCAGAAATTTCAAAGCCAAATAAAACATTTAAGAAGCAAAAAACAGCAAGACAGCTATTCTAGACTCATACCTGTAATCCCAGAACTTTGAGAGGCTGAGAAAGAAGGACTGTTTGAGCCCAGGAGTTTGAGACTAGCCTGGACAAGAGTGAGACCCCATCTCTACAAAAAAAAAAAATTTTTTTTTTTTTTGAGATGGAGTCTCGCACTGTTGCCCAGGCTGCAGTGTAGTGGTGCAATCTCAACTCACTGCAATCTCTGCCTCTTGGGTTCAAGCAATTCTCCTGCCTCAGTCTCCTGAGTAGCTGGGACTACAGGCGTGCACCACTACACCCAGCTAATTTTTTTGTATTTTTAGTAGAGATGGGTTTCACCATGTTGGCCAAGAAGGTCTCAATCTTCTGACCTCATGATCCACCCGCCTCAGCCTCCCAAAGTGCTGGGATTACAGGCGTGAGCCACTGTGCGCAGCTTCTACAAAGAATTTTTTAAAATTAGCTGAAACTTGGCGTGGTGGCTCACGCCTGTAATCCCAGAACTTTGGGAGCCTGAGGCGGGCATATCACTTGAGGTCAGGAGTTTGAGACCAGCCTGGCCCACACAGCGAAACACCATCTCTAACAAAAATACAAAAGTTAGTCAGGTGTGGTGGCACACGCCTGTAATCCCAGTTACTTGGGTGGCTGAGGCAGGAGAATCACTTGAACCCAGGAGGCGGAGGCTACAGTGAGCCAACATCATGGGAATGCACTCCAGCCTGGGTGACAGTCCTGTCAGTCTGTCTCAAAATAAATAAATAAATAAAATAACTGAGCACGGTGGCAAATGCCTGCCTGTAAGTCCCAGCTACTTGGGAGGCTGGGGTGGGAGGCTCAGGCTACAGTAAACCTCTTGGTTTGCCCACTGCAATCCAGCCTGGGCAACAGAGTGAGACTCTGTCTCAAAAAAACAAAAAGAAAAAGAAAAAAGAGAGAGCAAGCTATCATTTTTATATCCTTAGAGGGAGTACTATAGAATAAAATACTCTGGTGAGCATAGGAGATACAGAGGAAAACAAAACAGACATGATCCCTGTTCTCGTGGAGCATATATTCAGGGAACGAAAAACAATAACCAAGTACTCAGGTTAGTAAAATAACTTTTAAAAATGCTACGATCGCCAGGCACGGTGGCTCACGCCTGTAATCCCAGCACTGTGGGAGGCAGAGGCGGGTAGATCACAAGGTCAAGATATCGAGACCATCCTGGTCAACACGGTGAAACCCCGTCTCTACTAAAACTACAAAAGATTAGCTGGGCATGGTGGCGCGTGCCTGTAATCCCAGCTACTCAGGAGGCTGAGGCGGGAGAATCACCTGAACCCAGGAGGCAGAGGTTGCGGTGAGCCAAGATCGCGCCATTGCACTCCAGCCTGGGTAACAAGAGCGAAACTCCGTCTCAAAAAAAAAAAAAAATGCTACAATCTATAAGTAAGATAAAACAGGATGGAGTCACAGTGCTAAAAGGAATATAATTTGTGGAGGAACAACTACATTGGATGGGACTGACAAAAGAGACCTCTCTGAATAGTATCATCCTGGTAAAATATGGGATAAGGAGCTCTTCTAACACAGAAGATTTAGTAGAAGGGCATTTGTCCCCAGTGAGGCAACAGCCAATGAGGAGGTTCTAAAGCTTGGCAAGTTTAAGGAACAAAAAAGAGATATGAAAATGATCAAATTGGCCAAGGGCAGAGTGTGCAAGGCCTTGAAAGCCACAGTAAGGAGTTTTGACTTTATTGTGGGTGGAAGCCCACTGAAGGGCTTGAGAATAAGAGAGTAACATGACTTTTTATTTTTCTTTCTGAGACAAGGTCTTGCCCTGTCACCCTGGCTAGAGTGCAATGGCACAAACATGGTTCACTGTAGCCTTGATCTCCTGGGCCTAAGTGGTCCTCCTGCCTTGGCCTCCAGAGAAGCTGGGACCCAGGCTAACATGACTTTTTTAAAGGTAATTCTGGCTACCATGCAGCAGATAGGCAGTAAAAGTGAAAGAAAATGGAAAATTAGGAGGCCAAAGCTAGACAATTTAATGGTATCAATTACTAATACAATCAAGGTAATAATTTTCACTGGAAACTGGCATTAAACAAGGAAATCTTTAACAGAGGAGTAGGAGAAAATTAAGTGATATTCTAAAGAGAGATTATCTTGGCCAGGCATGGTGGCTCATGCCTATAATCCCAGCACTGTGGGAGGCCAAGGCAGACATATTGTTTGAGCCCAGGAGTTTGAGACCAGCCTGGACAACATGGTGACATGCCATCTCTACTAAAATTACAAAAAACTTAGCCAGGCATAGTGGCATGTGCCTGTAGTCCCAGCTACTCAGGAGGCTGAGATGGGACGATTGCTTCAGCCCAGGAGGTAGAAAATGCAATGAGCTAAGATCGTGCCACTACCACTGCACTCCAGTCTAGGTGACATAGTCAAACCCTATCTCAAAAGAAAGAGAGAGAGGTTATCTTAACCCCAAGAATATACACTCCATAACAGTAGGGACTATGTCTGTCTTGTTCACTGCTATATCCCTAGTTGTCTACAAAGTACTTAGTACTTCAGAAATGCTAAAAACTTTACTGGGCCTGGCCCAGTGGCTAATACTTATAATCCCAACACTTTGCAAGACCGAGGTGGGAGAATCACTTAAGGCCAGAAGTTTGAGACCAATCCAGGCAACAAAGCAAGGTCCCAATTCTATGCAAAATTTTAAAAAATTACCTGCGTGTTGCAGTGCATGCCTGTAGTCCTAGCTACACTCTGGAGGCTGAGGTGGGAGGATCACTTTAGCCCACCAGTTCAAGGCTGCAGTGAGCCAATATCTTTTTATTTTTATAGGCCAGGTGTGGTAGCCTACACCTATAATCCCAGCACTTTGGGAGGCTGAAACGATGATCACTTGAGGCTGTGAATTTTGAGATCTGCCTGGGCAACATGGCAAAACCCCATCTCTACTAAAATTACAAAAATTATCTGGGCTTGGTGGCATGCTCCTGTAATCCCAGCTACTTGGGAAGCTGAGGCACAAGAATCACTCGAACCCAGGAGGCAGAGATAGCAGTGAGCTGAGATGGCGTCACTGAACTCCAGCCTGGGCAACCTCTGTCTCAAAACAAAATAAAACAAAACAAAACAACACAACTTTACTGAGTAAATTTAAATGAATAAACCAAAGTGATGCTCTAGATAATAAACCCATATTTGGCACAGATAAAGTAGTAATTATTAAAACGTGTACTCACTAAGCATCTACAAAGTAAATATACTTCAGCAATTACTATACTGGGTTGATACCCAGAAATGCCAGGTCTAGTTTATCACTCAAGAGTTACAGTTTAGTCTTTGTAGTATAAACGAGTCACTATGATAAGACAGTCTTAGTCTTAGATGAAAATACCTACCAAAAAATCTTAGTGAAATATCCACCAAAACTCAAAGCTGCTTAATATTTGAAATGTATTTCAGATAAACTTTATAAACATCAGTTCATTTACAAATATATAATCTCAGGTATCTTTCAAAAAGATATTACTAATAAAAACACAATAAAGACATTTAAAGTATAATACAGAACCACAGTACTGTACTATAACAGTATTACAGTATGCAATTTTGACCCTAATAAAAGGAAAAAAGGTAACTTTTATTTTTGTCAAACTGCTCAAGATTTTAAATTATCAAAAGTTTTAACTGTAATTCTTAGACATTAATATAAATAATTTTTTACAAAATGGCACATAATATACCTTTAATTTGCTTCCGCAGTTTTGTAAGCTCTGTCATCCATTTCAATACCTTTGGGTTGGCAGCAATATCACTGTAGGAGGGCTGAAAAATTATAGAGCAGAATCACTGACACTTGTGATAAACAATAATTATGTTAATTTATATCCAAATAATATTTTACAGTTGCCACAGAAAAGACTACTTAATTCTTATTTCATCTTATTTTAATTAAATAGGGCAGGATATTAAGTCAAGTTCTCCCGGGGCAGGGTCTAGTAACCGGCAGAAGCCAGATTTGATTATGGGTCTTCTGACTCCAAGTACAGGACTCGTTCACTTCACATGCTCTAATTAATAAAACTCTCTTTCCCTCCCCCATTTCATCCCTCACAAACTCCCTCCACTCCACTTGGTACTTGTGGTTTTTGACAAGGCAGAAATACCAATAACATGATTTGTCAATGTAAAGCACTTGCTTTAAAAATTCGAAAAGCTGTTTTGCCAATGGAAATATAAAGATGCCACGGTGCAAATGGCAAGAACACTGGCCTGGAAGTCAGGAGGCTAAGGAGTTACATAGCTTCAGATCTACATTATCGCTATTCCTCTGGGCATCTCAGATTTGTTACCTTTCTCACACAGATCTAAACTAATGCTCTCGAAAAACCCTCCTTTCAGTTCTAATATTAGATTTTGCTCACTCAGGGCAATGTTACAAACTTACCTTGCTATTTTTCTCCCTTTCAAACTGTTCCTCAAATTGCCTAATTTTTTTCTGAAGTTTCTTGACCAACTGATAAGGTGTTCTGTCTTCTCTCTTTTCTTCTTTTGAACTAAAGGATGATCTTCGAATTCTGAATAAAAACATAAAGCCAACACTGTAATTTAAATTTTCAAGTACCAACACTGTATCTCTTATTGCCCTGACATAACACTATTACCAATAAGTATATCTTTAAGGTAAAAATAATCCCTAACACTAAAGGACAGGTAGTATAAAGAAACATTGTAGTGTTATAGACCACAAATTTAGCTAATACAAGTGATGATTAAAACAGTTTGGAATCATTTAAAACTGACTTGGACAAAGGCAGAAAAGAAACAAAGATACCTAGCAGCTCAGCACTCTTGTAACTGTTCAAACTGCATAGCAAAGTTTTTGACATTCAGATCCATTAAAAGCTTTGATAAAAAAAGATTAGGAACTGCTCAGCACCACTTGCTGCTTCCTTTACAGAGCTCTGTATTTCCGCAATGAATACACAAATAAATAAATACACCATGAGAAAATGTCTATTTGAGAGCAAACTTCAAACACTACACCGCAATGAACTCAGTAGGGTCAAAAAAAAAAAAAAAAAAGTTATAAAAATGTGTTCCATAAAATGAGGGAGAAAGCTCTGAATTCTAGGTTTAGAAGACTAAATCTTCTTTTTTGTAGACGGAGTTTCGCTCTTATTGCCCAAGCAGGAAGACTAAATCTCTCAGAAGACCTGAGTATATAACAGGAATTGCCTTTTGTAAGTACACAAAAATCATATACCTAGTAAAAGATAGTGCTTTAGATGAGGAATCCAACTTTTCTGGATCATGTAGAAAACGCTGGCTTTGCCCAAAATCTAAACTGCGGTGTGATAATACTGGAGGACAGTCCTCTTCCAAGGGGTGATGATTCATTCTTCCAGCTTGTGGAGACAGCTGAGCTTCTCCAGACTCAGAGTCCTCCTGCCAAGACTTAAAAGCAGGAAATGGCTCTATAAAACAAACACAAAGAATAGTACCATGGATCTCTTGATTCCACATGGGAAAAAAGTCATAAAATACCAGCTATAATGTGTTCCTTAAATCATATCATTATGTAGTGGTTCATATAATATTTTATAAAACAAGAGATACTAGGATCTTCACAAAGCCTACCATAGTTTAAAATTATTCAAGCTTCAATTTTTAGCCCAGAATTCTGTTTTTTTTTTTTTTGAGATGAGGTTTTGCTCTGCTGCCCAGGCTGGAGTGGAGTATCATGATGATGGCTCACTGCAGCCTTGGCCTTCTAGGGTCAAGTAATCCTTCCACCTGAGCCTCCCAAGTAGCTGGGAATAAGAAGCACTTGCCACTACACTTGAGTAATTTTCTTTTTTTGTTGTTGTTAGAGATGAGGTTTCACTATGTTGGCCAGGCTGGTCTTGAACTCCCAGGCTCAAGTGATCCTCCCATCTCGGCCTCCCAAAGTGCTGGGATTACAGGCGTGAGCCACAGTGCCCAGCCCAGAGTTCTATTTTCATATAAATTTAAATTTCTGAACCCAGTGGCAATGCAAGAAAGGACACTGTCAAGCTCTTTAATTCTAAAGATGTTACTTAATTCTGGAACTTGTCTAAACATGTTTTATTTACAAATGTTACTTTTCAAGTAGGGGAAAACTAGAAACAGCAAACATTCAACAGTTCTTAGAAATTTAACTTAAAAACCAAATGATACCAGGTGAATGACCTAACCCTCACTGTCAAATAGCTATGTTAAGAAAAAGTGAGAGCTGTTCCCCATGTTACACAGAACACTCACCAAGTGGAGCTCTCTGACTCCGGAAGAATTCTAACATTCCCAAAGGTGGAGCTAATTCACCTGACAGCACCTGGCCTCTAATATTAAACTGTGGCAGTTATCTTCTGTTACAGGATTCCTACATATATTATATATTTTAATAATACCCAAAAGTATTACTAAAACAAAACTTAATAGCACTAGGCCTTCTTAAGCACATTTACTTTACTGCAGTTATCCTGTATGCTCTCAAATGAAAGCTATGTTAATACATTCGGTGTCTTTGCAAATATAACGTTTGGTTACATACAGAACACATACAGATCATACACACAATCCACAAATATTCTCCAAATACAAAATTAAGTACAGGAGGGGAAAAAAAAATTCCCATCTACACATTAACTTTTTTTTCCTTTTCTTTTTTTTTTTTTGAGACAGAGTCTTGCTCTGTCACCCATGCTGCAGTGCAGTGACACAATCTTGACCCACTGCAACCTCTGCCTCTTGGGTTCAAGTGATTCTCCTGCCTCAGCCTCCTGATTGGGTGGGATTACAGGCGCTCACTACCATGCTTGGCTAATATTTGCATTTTTAGTTGAGATGGGGTTTCACCATGTTGGCCAGGCTGGTTACAAACTCCTGGCCTCAAGTGATCCGACCACCTCGGCCTCCCAAAGTGCTAGGATTACAGGCATGAGCCACCAGGTCCAGCAGGTTTTTAAATTACTACAATTTAAAAATTTGATGTTACGGCTATTAGCAATAGCAAAAATGAATATAAAGATGGCTTGACAGTGTCAAAATTCAAGAGTGATGTTTTATTTTTCCTCACACAACAGCTAAGAGTGCTGCTTTAATAATTTAGTTTAACTTTATGCATTAGCCATTTAAAGCATTACCTTTCCTTTCAAAATAATAAGAACATAATTTAGTTGGTTTTTGAAGTCCAGATCAATTTGATAATTAAAAACTGGGTACAAAGCGTGCAATCCCACAATAAACCCAACAATAAAGTGATTTTCAAAGCAACCCTTGTACCTGTGTCCCAGCAAATAAATAACGGTAGTAAACATTTTATGAGAAATGTCCTATTTTAAGAAAAGACAGAAGTAACAACAAGTTTTTCTGGATTCACTTTTAACCCAGAACAGTTTTCCTAAGATGTGGGGACAGCAGGAGAAGGGCTTAATAAAGAGACAAACAAAGTGAACCATAAAAAGGCAAAAAAACTAAACTATGGTGAACCATACTTACCCTCCCCATCTCTCTGCAGATGCATTGTTTTGAAATCAATGAGGGGAAAAGTGATAAGGCATGACGCTAATAAAATGGAAAAAATGGCAAAAAATACTAAAGTGAACACACAGCACAGTCAGTACAAACCATACACATAACACAAAGCCAAAGATACCAAAAACATTTCCCTAAAACCAGTGAGGCATTCTGCTCAAAAGCCTTATTAAAATAAATTACTACTAACTAGATTTTAACAAATACAAACATAACATTTGCATTTCAGCAAGCAATGCAAAAAAGGGGGAAAAAACTCAAAGTAGTGCTATTTTACCCAAACATAAAACTGAAGAAATAGAAATTCTTAAGCAGATTCTGTTTGAAGCTTTTCGGTATAAATGATTTAAAAAAAAAAAAAAAAATCTCCCTTAGTTTGCTCTTTGAAAAAATCCTACTGCATTTTATTCTAGATATAACAGGGGAGAATCTGACAATGGTATCCACTTCCATTGAAAGTCAAAACTTTGTGAACAGCTGCTACAGATTCATATTGGTGACAGTCATGTGCTACCTGCCTGCTACCTACTGCATTATGCTGACTATTTTTCTCATCTTTTGAGGAAAAAAAAACAAAACAGAAACCATATACTTAGGAATAGTGACATAGGCCTCTATTTGGAGTCATCCCGCTTCTCTACAGAGTCACATCAAACAAAGCATATCTGTGATTCCAAGGTATCCAGGGTCTAAAGTAGGTTGTTTCTTAAGTAAATAAGACTTTTTCATTTAGAATATCCTAAACTCCTAATTGTGGAAAATCAATGTTTGCATTAGTGACAAAGTTGAAAGGAACAATATGGTCTACTAACAGCCACTCTACCAAGCACATGCACAGTTCATGGCTGGGAAGTCCACTCAGGTGTCTCTAACCATTGGCTGTCTGAAAGTCAGGAACCCCTATTCCTGGAAGAGCAATAAGGAGATCTACACAGACTTGTTTAGGCTATTGAGCCAGGGCAACTCAGGGATTGAAAATCAGCCATCAGTAGCCTACAGGTTACCTCCTTTATCTATACCAAGGTATAGGTGCTGGATTCTGACACGAAAAAAAGGATAGTCCATATCCAGTTCTATTTGGGGAGACTCAAGAACACTGAAGCCAGACAGAGAATGTCCATCCTCTTCAGACAATGAAAACAACTGCTCTTCTGTGCTTAAAATTTAATAAGGACTCCCAGGCCAAAGATCATCGAGAACTAATTATCTGCATCTTCTAACAGGAAGAAGCAAAAGTGCTTTATCAGAATCCAAGCTGCTTCTTTTGAAGACTCACTTCCTAGCAAGGCTTTAAGGGACGGTCTGTCAACCACCACTCCTTTTATTTTAGCCATAATAAATAACAAAAAAGAACATTAATCTCCAACTGCCACCAGTATGCTAACATATCCCCTAACACTGGGAAGCATCTTCATAAACTCTAAATGTCCTGAATAACCCAAACAAAGCAAATGAAAGACAACTTCCTAATTTAGTCTAAGTTAAAACAGATAATATGTGACTGGGAATGCCAAACATCTAGACCTATATAAAAACGAAGCTGGGGAGGAGACAGCAATAAAAATTGGCACAGACAAAGACTTGGCTGGGGTTCCTTAAAAAAAAAAAAAAAAAAAAAAAAAAAAACCACACACACTCCATTTGCAATCAGGTGAGTACCCTTACAGCGCCAAAGGAGTCCATGGCACTGGCATTACAATTCCTGTTATTGCCAGCATATGTCAACAGATAACTTGCCAAAGATGAGACAACCCAGGGATCTTCACCCAAGTGAATGTATATGCAGCTCTGCTTAAGTAAGATTCTTGAGTTACCTCATTGTCTCTTTACCAAGGTGTACGATCCAGAAGAACTCCTAGATTCAAATTTATTGCTTGTTTCCCACCCCCATTCAACATTTTATTTGAAAGTTTACAAACAGATAGCAAAACTGAAAGAACTTAACACTGTATATCCATATACCAATCACAATCTATCATTAACATTCTACTATACTTGCTTTGTAACATTTATCCATCCTATTAACCATCTTGTTTTTTTCATGGATTTCAGAGTAAATTGCAGGTATCAGTAAATTTCCTCATAAACACTCCAGCATGCAAATCACCCACTGAAGTTCACTATTTGTTCACAGTTTTTGATTCTCTTGAAGTAAAAAGAAAACTTTATATACAAAGAAACACAAAAATCTATGTATCTGCTGACTTTTGAGCAATGTAAACACCCATGTTGTTTGCCTGTTAATTTTTAACTTCTCTCCTTTGTGCAAAGTTTTAGCATCCCCTGCACCATACCTTTATAACCTAAGACCGAGATACAGGAATATGGTACAGTATTTGTTTAGAGGTACCCTTGAAGGTCATTTTTCAAAAAAGTATTACTGACGATTCTAATGGCAAGGTAATAATTATACACACTCTGTTTAAATTGGTGAGATCCCTACGCCTTAACATACTGGGCTTTCAAAGACTGGGAGATAGCACCTGATTTTAACTATTAGCAAAAACGTAGGCTGGGTGACTTTTTAAAAAAATCAGTTCTAACATCCATTTTCAAAGCTGCTGATGGATCAGATAAGAACTTCTAGTTCATATGAGATGCTGCCCCATAATCTCAGTGTGTTTCACTAAAAATACCCACTTGCTCATCTTATAGGAAAGGGAGAACAGAAGATCAAGATGAATAAAGTTATACAGAAAAGGGCTGTACTCTTATCATTGCTTAGGGTAATTTCAGTTACAAATAACATTATCAGGAAAACAATGTGTGTGGGTAAAATTACCTTCCCATTTATCACCATCAGAAACATTCTTCAGATCTAAATGTGGAATATGGACACATGCTGCTTCCCCTTGAACACCAACACTTTGACCTCCTGGTACTTCTGATTCAGTGTTGGCATTCAAATCACGTATCTCGCTACTAGAATCCTGTATTTTAAAATAAAGAATACGTTTCACAACTACGGAATTTTTTCACGCCCAGCTTAAAGACATCCAGCACATATCCACGTGTAGTCTTCACTGGTTTACTGTGCCTATATAGCCAACTGTCCCACTCCCACTGTGCAAACTATTTTCAAATATAAAAATGCAGCTTTATAGTATGTCTCATCGGGAGATAAGTTTGGATGCCAAATTCAGGAAAGCGTTTTCATAACCAAGTTTCTTGTGACCAAAAGTGGCAAAGTAATTGCTAACTGTAAACTCTTTGATAAGAGTATTTACATTTAAATATTTAAACCTAGCTAACCCGAGTTAAAGACCAGACATAACAGACAGTTTAAACCTAGGTAAATTTTTTTTTTTTTTTTGAGACGGAGTTTCGCTCTTGTTACCCAGGCCGGAGTGCAATGGCGCGATCTCGGCTCACCGCAACCTCCGCCTCCTGGGTTCAGGCAATTCTCCTGCCTCAGCCTCCTGAGTAGCTGGGATTACAGGCACACGCCACCATGCCCAGCTAATTTTTTGTAGTTTTAGTAGAGACGGGGTCTCACCGTGTTGACCAGGATGGTCTCGATCTCTTGACCTAGGTAAATTTTTAAAGACTAAGATAAAAAATAGTTCTTACCAGAATCAAGTGCGACAATTTATCACTGTCAAATAACAAATATTCTTCCCTAAAAACACAAGTAAAGTTGTTAGTATATTAAGAATAAAAAGGCTAATATCATTATATATTTCTTACCTAGATTCCTCTTCTCAACAACACAGCTAGCATTTACTACGTGTGAAGAGAAAATGACAACTGGACATATGTCCATTCTTTGGAGCCCTGTATCTGAAAAACCACACAATACTAAAAAGATCCACAGAATCACTTCGGGTTTAGAAAAATCAAGTAATGTTCCCTACTCCACTCCACAAACCACAGCAAAAAAGAAAAACCTTTATAAAATGAAAACTAAAATCCACAGTAACTAGAAACACAAAAGGATGAATGTATAATAAAGATTTTATAAAGTAAATGTTTTAATCAAATAAACAGCTCTATTCTCTCCACTCTTGAGACTTGTAAAGACTTTCTAATAAGGTATCACTGTCTTTTAATTTAAATCTGTTTTCTATCACAAGGTTGCTACTTCCAATCAAAGAAAGTTACTACTTCCAAACCTTTTCCTCCTCAAAACATTCTAAAGATAATTAAAGAGAAATTAAAAAAAAATTTCAGTTCACCTTTTACTTCCTCCAAAAAACTAAACCGTGTTTAGAACAAGTGTTACAGCAAGCTGTTAAATGGTCCATACCAATTTTCCAGTCAACAGAGCACCTGCTATTATACAATAGATCATCAATATGCCTAGTATGGAAAAGTTCTTTTCCTCAAAGGCACTGTGGCAATTTACAATGACACATCAAGATGTCACTTCTAACTGGCCATAACAGAGTATGCACTCAGGAGACATGTCTTGATCTAAATATGGCAAGTCATTTTCTCATATAGATAATTACCTTATTTTTGCTGAGCAGGAGAAATGAACTCAATGCTCTGACAAGTTTAAAAGCATTCCTTTGCTTAGAGTAGGAGCAAATGGTAGGATGAGTAAATGCTACTTAAGCAGCCTAGAACACCTACCTAATCACCTAAATTTGAGAAACATGATGTTAAACATACAAAATGTAATCTACCTAATCAAGGTACTCTTTGGATCTAAAAACAAGTTTTCTAACCTATACACAGTTGAAATTGAAGAGGAAAGAGCTTTTTCCAAAAGCAGCAACAACAACAACAACAAAAACAGAGGAGTCCTCACTACATGGGTCCTAATTGTTCTACCAAATCCAGATGTCATCATTCTGGGGGTGCCTGTTAATGCCATTAATCTTGTATCTTCAGCCAACAGCTCCAATACTCACTGGGCTGGAAGAGGATGATTCCTGTCTCCTGAGAGGAAGCACAAGGAACTCTGTAACCACGAAATCTGTGAACCTTCAGAGTATGAGGAGGCTCCAGAGGCATGGCTCCAAAGAATTTACTTACCCTTTAAGAACAGGCTTCCTACTTATAATTAAGAGAAACTATGAAACTAATACAAATATGTCCTTGCCAACAGGCTGTCAGCAAATTAGTATGCTGTCTGGGATCTCTTAATATTTACAATCTAGCTGCAAACTTCATTACTGAAGTGTTTTCAGAATCTCAAATCATATTCCTAAGAAAGTTATACTACACTTTTTGGCAGCATCTTGAAGACTGATGCAAAGGGTAACAGGAACCCAATCTTACTCTGTGACTTAAAACATTCTAGAAAGCTTCTACTCAAAGAGACTATTGAGACTCTACATTTAGTCAAAATACTTGTTGTCTACAGTATTTCTCTACCATTATAGCCAGTCAAAGTGGTAAAAAAGCACCAACTGCCTAGGAGTGTACTGAGACGTACCAAGGATAAATTCAAAGAGGAAGAAAAGCATTCTATACATATTTGTTGAAACAAATATGGTATCTTTCAGTTAGTTATACATAGTTCTAAGACCATGAATTAACTCACTGACGGGTATACTGAGAGTATCAGTAAATTCCCAATTGTTCTAAAATCAACTGAAAGGTTTAAGTGTCTCCAAAAAGGCTATGTGTTTTTCCCTCTGAATGTTTTCCAAGTTATAACTACTGTCGGTCTAAACCTGTATAAATCCAAATATTTATATTTAATATCCTTTAGGCCTACCATTAAAACAAGAAGCCGGTTTACCTAAACTATATATTTATAATGGATAATCATCTTAAAAATTCACCTTAGAAATCTGTGAAGAGCTCCAATTCTCAAAATGATTAATTAGCAACAACATGAAAAAATGCTTACCTCTCAGGACAGCCATCTTCACTATCACCATGATCACTGCATGGCTCTAACAATATACCTACAGACTGATAAAAAGAACACCACCATGTATTAATGGAGCTCCCAATACACAGTTATGAGAGGAAGTTGCCAATCTAAATTAGGATATGAGAATACATGTTAGTCAAACACCCCTCATTAGCTATCATTTATCTAAGTCTATAGGACTTAGATCTCTTTTTACAGAGTAATTTATCTTCCCTCAAAACCTAAGTCATCTGAAGTATGGCAGTACTCTGCATTTCTTTCTACTCTATTAGCTATCACCACTACTATCCTTTTTCCTTAGAATTCTCTCCTCCAAAATGATGGTCTTCTGATCCTGCTTACGAACTGCTGCTTGCCTTATTTCTCCTCAGCCACAAACACACAAGTTTGGCAACTTCTTGTAGGTTAAGATAAGAGTTATGGAGGAGTTTGTATATTTGAAGCAGTAACTATTTTCCACAAAGAAAGTCCCCACATGAGAAAACTTTCCCATTTTCCAATGAGCTTAGTGACACCATCTCATCCCTATTCCCCCCAAAATAAAAATCTACCAAGTCTAATACAAATACCCAGAGAATTACCACAAAATACATGAACTTTTTGGTGTTTTTGACGATCACCTCTCAAATCAACAAAAGGTTTGATACTTCCTAGACTCTCCGATTCTTCTTTAGAAAGTACCACTTGTTCAGTTTTGTTTAGCATGAAAGAAGGTCCATAAGACTGCAAAAAAGCTATTAAAATACTAGTCCCTTTTCAAACTACACACCTCTGTGAGGCTGTCTCATAGGCTTCAACAAAAACAATGTAATCGTAACAGACTAAATGCTTCTGCAGTTACAAGAATCCAGCTGTCTTCTGTAAGTCAAACAGGTATCAACAATATTTCTTTCTATAAAACAATGCCATTCCTCAAACTAAAAAAAATTTTATGAAAACAGTTGTCTATTATGGAAAAGAGCAACCTTATTTATGTTACCATAAATGAGTTTATGTTTAAGTAAGTTAATATTTTTTAAATTTCTCAGTTTTAATTCCTAATATGGTAAATCCTGTAAACAAAGCTCTTTGGGATCTTCAATATTTTTAAGAGTATAAATGAGTCTCTGAGAACCAAAGTGTGAGAAACAATGATACAGAAATCAGACTTCAGCAACCTTTAGATCTAGAACAGGTATCCCCAACCCCTGAACCAGGACCAATCAATGGCCTGTGAGGAACCAGGCCACACAGCAGGAGGTGAGTGCATTACAGCCTGAGCTCTGCCTCCTGTCAGATCAGTGGTAGCACTAGATTCTGATAGGAGTGCAAACCCTATTGTAAGCTGTGCATGCGAGGGATCTGGGTTGTATGTTCTTTATGAGAATCTAACTAATGCTTTGATGATCTAAGGTAGAATAGTTTTATGTGGAAACCCCAACCCCTAACCCACCATCTGTGGAAAAACTGTCAATCACAAAACCAGTCCCTGGTTCCAAAAAGGCTGGAAACCACTGCTCTAGAAGATAGCTTTACATTCCAAAGGTTTCTGGGCACATAAAATAACCATTACCCAGGCTGAATATTTAACTTTTATTTATTTACTTAAAAAAAATTTTCTTAGATAGTCTCTGTTACCCAGGCTGGAGTACAGTGGCACAATCTTGGCTCACTTCAAACTCCATCTCCTGGGTTCAAGTGATTCTCCTGCCTCAGCCTCCGAGTAGCTGGAACTACAGACTCACGGTGCCACCACGCCTGGCTAGTTTCTTTGTATATCTAGTAGAGATGGGGTTTCAGCATGTTGGCCAGGCTGGTCTCAAACTCCTGACCTCAAGTGATCTACCTGTCTTCAATCACCAGAAGTACTGGGATTACAGGCATGAGCCACCATGAAACTTGGGGCTGGGCACAGTGGCTCGCACCTATAATCTCAGCACTTTAGGAGGCCGAGGTGGACAAATCACTTGAGGGCAGGAGTTTGAGAGCAGCCTGGCCAACATGGTGAAACCTCATCTCTACTAAAAATACAAAAATTAGCCAGGCATGGTATTGCATGCCTGTAGTCCCTGCTACTCAGGAGACAGAGAGGAGAATTGTTTGAACCCACGAAGCGGAAGATGGTACCAGCCTGGGTGACGAGCAAGACTCTGTCACAAACAGACAGAATCCAGGTATTTCACTCAAAAGAACCAAATTCAAGCCCTAGCTCTACCTTTCTCATCACAAATATGAGAATAACAATCATTTACCTGACTACCTTAGAGTTACTGTAGAAAATCAAAAGAAATAGCTTGTAAGAAAAGCCATCTATATTGGCCAGGTGCAGATGCTTGCGCTTGTAATCCCAACACTTTGGGAGGCCAAGGTGGGTGGATCACTTGAGGTCAGCAGTTTGAGACCAGCCTAGCCAACACGATGAAACCCCATCTACTAAAAATACAAATATTAGCCCCGTGTGGTGGTATGTGCCTGTAATACCAGCTACTCTGGAGGCTGAGGTATGAGACTCGCTTGAACCAGTGGGGAAGAGAAGACTGCATGAACCAAGATATTGCCACTTTATTCCAGCCTGGGCAACAGAGCAAGACTCTGTTTCCAAAAATATATAAAAAACAAAAATAAAATAAATAAAATATCAGTGGGCAAAATAACCCATATCTTCTCCCCACCTCCTCCCATGAGCCTTTTCATAAACATCAGGTTCTGCAAAGGAAGGCTAAGGTGCTCTGGTCTCCCAATTCAGGTAAGCTAGACAGTTTTGGCAGTGGTGGTAAAAGCAGCAGGAGGAGGAGCAGCTACATCACAGTCATATTAGCAGTATCTTAGTAGTTTTCAGAAATCACTGCCAAGAGCTAATTAAAACCTGACAGGCATTTCCAGTAATTCCTCTGGTCTCCATCCATCCTTTGCTGTCCATAATTGGTGCACCCACATTGCTTAGTTCTGTGTCTTCCCATTTCTACTCACTCACTTTGCTCAAGCATGCTAGTTATTTCTATTAAATACGCTACATATCTTCACTCCATTCTGTACCTTTCATTTGCTGTACAAACACTCAGTGAATTGCATATTGACATAGTTCTATCCAGCCTACTCTCTCTCTTCTATAAAATATGATCAAAATTGATGAGGTCTTATGATAGTACACATCAAATTGACAGCCATCTACTCCTCTTGGCTATCTGCCAGAGTTTATAAATACTTCTGGTCTCCACTTCTGAAAGGAGGTAATTATATTCCAGCAGTTTCTCAGTATTTGCAAGGTATGAATAATTCTAAGTTTTGAAGGGTACCATCAATGAAGGTACCATGAAATGAATGGATTTTACCGATGATAAATCAGGTATTTTGATGTGAGTTCTAATCAGGCTATTCAACTTCATACACTTTCGTTGTTTTTTTTTTTGGTTTCTTTTTGAGATGGAGTCTTGCTCTGTTGCTAGGCTTGAGTGCAGCGGTAGGATCTCGGCTCACTGCAACCTCTGCCTCCCGGGTTCAAGCAATTCCCCTGCCTCCACCTCCCAAGTAGCTGGGACTACAGGCATGCGCCACCACATCCAGCTAATTTTTTTTTGTATTTTTAGTAGAGATGGGGTTTCACCATGTTGGCCAGGATGGTCTCAATCTCCTGACCTCATGATCTGCCCACCTCGGCCTCCCCAAGTACTAGGACTACAGGCGTGAGCCACTGTGCCCAACCCATTTTCTTTTCTATTTTTTTTTCACCTTCATACACTTTCAACTCCCAAAATACTGATTACAGTACAACTTATACCTATTCAAAATCTACAGTGAATGATCTCCTTATATCAGATAAAACTCCTAAATATTTACTATGGAATCTAGTAGCACATTAAAAAAAAAAATCTATTTTGCAAAAACCTATTGGATAAAGTTATCCAAAATATAGGTCAGGCATGGTGGCTCATGCCTGTAATCCCAGCACTTTGGGAGGCTGAGGAGGGCAGATCATGAGGTCAGGCATTCGAAACCAGCCTGGCCAATATGGTGAAACCTCGTCTCTACTCGAAATACAAAAATTAGCCGAGTGAGGTGGCACATGCCTGTAATTCCAGCTATGTGTGAGGCTGAGGCAGGAGAATCACTTGAACCTGGGAGGCGGAGGTTGCCATGAACCAAGATTGCACCACTGCACTCCAGCCTGGGTGACAGAGACTCCACCTCAAAAAAAAAAAAAAAAAAAAAAAATACACACACACACAGAGAAAGAGAGAGAGAGAGAGAGAGAGAGAGAGAGAGAGAGAGACAGGCAGACAGACAGAAACTCTTAAAACTCAACAATGATAAAACAACTCAGTTAAAAAATGGAAAGATGGAAGCTCTTAAAATTCAATAATGAGAAAATCGCCCAATTAAAAAACAGGCAATTGGCCAGGTGCGGTGGTTCATGCCAGCACTTTGGGAGGCCAAGGCAGGTGGATCACCTGAGGCTGGGAGTTCGAGACCAGCCTGACCAACATGGAGAAACCCCATCTCTACTAAAACTACAAAATTAGCCAGGCATGGTGGCACATGCCTGTAATCCTAGCTACTCAGGAGGCTGAGGCAGGAGAATAACTTAAACCCGGGAGGCAGAGGTTGCAGTGAGCCAAGATCGCTCCATTGCACTCCAGCCTGGGCAACAAGAACAAAACTCCACCTCAAAACAAAACAAAACAAAAAACTGGGCAAAAGACCTGAATAAACACCTCACTAAATAAGATAAACACATGGCAAATAAGATATACACATGGCATATGAAAAACTCATCATCATATGTCATTAAGAAACAAAATTCAAACAAGATACCACTGCACACATATCAGAATGGCCAAAATCCAAAACACTAACACCACCAAATGCTGGCAAGAATGTGGCACTGTCACTCATTGCGGGTGAATGAATGAGAAACACACTCAACTGATTTCGAACGCCACGTTTTTTTATAAATGTACCCAAGCATTTACTTTAAGATAAAGGTGGCATTTCACATTGGCAGGAAAAAGATAGACTATTCAGATTATTCAAAAAGTTAAGGTGGTGGGATATCTAGGTA